GGTGCAGAAGGGCCCGATGAAAGGCAGAGTATTGGAATCTCTGTTCTTGATGCATGGCTCTAATCCCTCCTAAATAGTCATAATAAGAGCCAGTACTTCCTGAGTTCTTTTTTGGCACCAGTGCTAAACACTTTACATATATTAACATACCTTATCATTCAAGAACTTTATTAAATATATATATATATATATATTTGTTTGTTTGTTTGTTTTGATACTGTGTGTTGCTCCAGGCTGGAGTGCAGTGGCTCACTGTAACCTTAACCTCCTGGGCTCAACTGATCCTCTGACCTCAGTCTCCCAAGTAGCTGGGATTACAGACAGGCATGGGCCACCACACCTAGCTAATTAATTTTAATTTTTATTTTTTGTAGAAGCAGGTGCCTTATTATGTTGCCCAGGCTGGTCTTGAACTCCTGGGCTCAAATGATTCTCTGGCCTCAGCCCCGCAAAGTGCTGGGATTACAGGCATGAGGCACCACACCTGGTCTAAATATATATTTTTATCCCCATTTTAAAGATGAGAAAATGGAGGCATAGAGAGATTAAGTAACCTGGCAAGGGTGACACAGGTAATAAAGGCAAAGTTAGGATTCAAATCCAGATGGTTGGCTGGGCATGGTAGCTCTTGCCTGTAATCCCAGCCCTTTGGGAGGCTGAGGTGGACAGATCATGAGGTCAAGAGTTTGAGACCAGCCTGGCCAACATGGTGAAACCCCATCTCTACGAAGAATACAAAAATTGACCGGGCGTGGCGGCACTTGCCTGTAATCCCGGTTACTCAGGAGGCTGAGGCAGGAGAATCGCTTGATCCAACCTCCTGGGAAGCGGAGGTTGCAGTGAGCCGAGATTGTGCCACTGCACTGCAGCCTGGGTGACAGACAGAGCACGACTCCATCTTGGGGGTGAGGGAAATAAAAATCAAATCTAGACAGTCAGATGTCATAGTGCTTATGCCAAAAATGAGCTTCACCACTAGGCTCTAGTATCTGTAGTCATTTTATCTCTATAAACCTCAGTCTTCTTGCTGTGTAAAGTGAATGACTGCCTCACAGCATTGTTGTAAAGATTGGATGAGAGCACATAATAGGCTGTCAATATGTGGGGACAGTCCCCCTTTCATGGTCAAATGTTAAGGTTCAGCTGCTTGGACTTGGAGTTTGGGGGTCAGAGAAAGTTAGCTATCTGGCTTGGGCCCACCTGGGCTAGGGAAACCAGCCTAGGGGCAAGCTGCCCACAGGGAAGCTGTGTCTCCCCGTCTCAATTTCCACTCCCCAGTGGGCTCACATTTCCCTGCTCACTCTATTTTCGCTGGCCCAGGAGGACGTGCCCCAGGAAAGTCTAGGGATCAGCCACGCGGACTCCCTGTTCCTGTTCCCTATCTATCCTCCCCCCTCCCTGGGAAACAGGTGTGTCTGAACTGGGGCTGGAAGCAGAGCCCGGGAGCTGCACGACTGGCCTTGGGTGAGTAGAAGCCTGTTGTCCCTCAGTCACCCTGGAGGTCCCCACGTACTCTTCTTTATCTTGTTCTTTTTTTTTTTTTTTTTTTTTTTTTTTGAGACGGAGTTTCACTCTTGTTACCGAGGCTGGAGTGCAATGGCGCGATCTCGGTTCACCGCAACCTCCGCCTCCTGGGTTCAGGAAATTCTCCTGCCTCAGCCTCCTGAGTAGCTGGGATTACAGGCACGCGCCACCATGCCCAGCTAATGTTTTGTTTTTTTTTTTTCAGTAGAGACGGTGTTTCACCATGTTGACCAGGATGGTCTCGATCTCTTGACCTCGTGATTCACCCGCCTCGGCCTCCCAAAGTGCTGGGATTACAGGCTTGAGCCACCGCGCCCGGCCCTTTATCTTGTTCTTAGGATACCCCTGCTATTTTTTTTACCCTGCAAGGATTTTTAAAAGAAGGCTCTGGGTGGCTACTGACAGGCCTCTCATGGTTTCTTCTGGGTTGGTGAATCACTCCGTGATGCCTGTAACCACAGGCTTCCTTCCCCCTGGTGAGAACACAGGCTTTCTTCTCTGGGTGTATTGCTGACTCTTATACTGCCTGCCTACAGCCTTTGCAGGCCTCAAGGCTTGGCAGATAACCTCTTCCAAATTGCCCAGATGCCTTCTTTTATTTTTATTTTGATTTTCCTGAGAGTGAGTCTTGCTCTGTCATCCAGGCTGGAGTGCAGTGGTGCAATCTCTGCTCACTGCAACCTCTGCCTCCTGGGTTTAAGTGATTCTCCTGCCTCAGCCTCCGGAGTAGCTGGGATTACAGGCGTGCACCACCACACCCAGCTAATTTTTGTATTTTTAGTAGAGATGGGGTTTCACCGTATTGGCCAGGCTGGTCTCGAACTCCCAACCTTGTGGTCCGCCTGCCTCGGCCTCCCAAAGTGTTGGGATTATAGGTGTGAGCCATCATGTCCAGCTTTTTTTTTTTTTTTTTTGACAGAGCCTCACTCTGTCGCCCAGGTTGGAGTGCAGTGGAGCAATCTGAGCTCACTGCAATGCCCACCTCCCAGGTTCAAGCTATTCTTCTGCCTCAGCCTCTTGAGTAGTTGAGAGTACAGGCACGTGCCACCACGCCCCACCAATTTTTGTATTTTTAGTGGAGATGGGGTTTCTCCATGTTGACCAGGCTGGTTGTTAACTCTTGACCTCAAGTGATCTGCCTGCCTCGGCCTCCCAATATGCTGTGATTACAGGCATGAGCCACTGTGCCTGGCCGTCCAGAAACTTTCCTTGTGACCCCAAGCTGGACATTGAATTTGTGGGTGGAGAGGCTGAAATAAGTAAGAGACTTTTACAGAGCATGGGAGGTGGGGAGGGCAGAGTGAGAACTAATGTGGTTAAAGGTTGACTGTGTGAAGGGCACCATGCCACGTGCTAGTTATTACCTCCTTCAGTCCCCACAAAAACCAGATGAGGTGTTTATTATAATAATTATCGTCATCACTATTTGACAGAGTGAGACAAGCTCAGAGTATATGACATCATGGCCTCAAATCACAAGCCAGTAGGTGACAGATATAAAACTAGGGCTGACACCAGGGTCCCCATGTCTAATGTACAGAGCTAGCTTCTCTTGGGTATGCTGATCACCCAGTGCCTTCTTCAGGGGAAGAGGCAGGAGTGGCTGGGGCTGCCACCTAGTCACTGTGCCTGATAGCTGGTCTTCTTGATGGAAACAAGGTTGGAAAGGTGGGCATGGGATGGGTCAGGTTATAAAGGGCCTCGTCTTCCAATCATAAGTGACAAATGAGATGAAATTTTTTTAATGCAAGAGGCCCTAAATGGGCAAGGCTCAAACTCATACTTTGAGCTCTTTCATGCCCACTGGTCAACTGGACTGGCATTTCTGGGGACTAAGGAGAGGATTTCCTCAGAGCTCCTTAGCTGGAGGAGTAACCCCTGTCATGAGAAAGGGGTGCAATTATACACCCTGTTTCATGTGGTGGAAAAGAAACCAAATGCCTCTAGAATGCTTTACTATGCCCAGTCCTCTCTGTAAACTTAGAGCAGGTTTAGTAATAATAAAAATAACGATAGTAACTCCATTTTATTTTACTTTATTTTATTTTTTGAGAAGGAGTTTTGCTCTTGTTGTCCAGGTTGGAATGCAATGGCACAATCTTGGCTCACCACAACCTCTGCCTCCTGGGTTCAAGTGACTCCCCTGCCTCGGCCTCCCGAGTAGCTGCGATTACAGGCATGTGCCACCATGCCTGGCTAATTTTGTATTTTTAGTAGAGATGGAGTTTTTCCATGTTGGTCAGACTGGTCTTGAACTCATGACCTCAGGTGATCCACCTGCCTCAGCCTCACAAAGTGCTGGGATTACAGAAGCGAGCCACTGTGGCTGGCCTACTAACTCCATTTTATTTTGAACTTGCTAAGGAGTAAAAACAGCATTAAGCATTTTACAAATGATTTTATTTTATTCTCAAAACAATCCTGTGGGTATAGCATTATTAGTATCTCAATTTACACTCAGGTGGAGGCTCAGTGAATCTAACTTTACTTTGACTGGGGTAGCCTCAGAACACACCTCATGGGTCACAGTTCTAATCATTACCTTGTACTGCCTCTGATCCTCATATCATCAACCAGCCATTCCCTTGGGGATGTGAGGGACTCAGAACTTTATAGCTACTGTCATTGAATGATTCCCTTCTATGCTCTTTACAGATATGATTCATCAGTTCATCTGTGAGCTCTTGACAGCAATGTGAATCAAGAGGTGCATGTTATTATCATCCTCATTTTATAGTTGAGAAAAATGATGCTCATTAAAGTCAAGAAACCAGCCAAAAGTCACACAGCCTATAAGTGAGTGGCAGAGCCAGGTATGGTTTTAAGGTCTCTTGTCTCTCCATAGAATGATCTTTTCTGTACACCGTTGTAGAGGAGGAAAAAATGGGTGGGTCAGATGAACCAAGTTTATATAGTGTTCTGAGTTACAAAAAAGAATAGTGGCGTGGGGCTTCTGGGGGCTGGTGGCAACACAAATTATGGGAAGGTGAGGGGAAGAAATGTCCTGTTATGGAGATAAAATCTCTCAGGAAGTGACAGTTGTCAGCCCTCTTCTTGACACAGATAGCTCTCTAAAAATATAAATTTCCGTTGTAGATGTAAATTTATTTTACAAAAGGAAGGACAGCTTTTCAGAGCAACTCCTCTGTCTGCAGTTTCTCAGCATAACCAGCTGAAAGAAATAAGCAAGATAAATATATATTTTGGAGTTCTGGTCTCCAACAGTCATATTTGGAGTGGTGTGTCTTTTTTGAGACGGAATCTCACTATTGCCTGCTGGGGTGCAATGGCACGATGTTGGCTCACTGCAACCTCTGCCTCCCAGGTTCAAGTGATTTTCCTGTTTCAACCTCCCGAGTAGTTTGGGATTACAGGTGTGCATCACCACGTCCGGCTAATTTTTCTATTTTTTTAAGTACAGACCGGGTTTCACCATATTGGCCACGATGGTCTCGAACACCCAATCTCGTGATCCGCCCGTCTCAGCCTCCCAATAGAGCTGGGGTTACAGGCATGAGCTACGGCGCCCAGCCAGCGCCAACACTGTTGAGTGCATACTCCTCTAGCTTTAAACATACCGCCTAAATACTGTAACCCGTGCCGAGCTGAAAGTGACTGCACATGCGCACACGCCAAGCCCAACTTGGACGCAGGGCAGTGCCAGCCACGTGTTCCCAGGTGCCAACGCGGGCCAAGCGCGAAGGCGAGATCTGGGCAGCGTGGACAGGCACTAGCTAATAAGAACGGGCTCTTGCCGAGTCACAAGACTAGATCTAGAAAACTACATTTCCCAGAAGGAGCCTGCGGTGTCTGCCTTTGCTGGATGACGTACATCCGGAAGATCGGCTCCGGAAAGGTTGCTTAGAGGAAGTAGGCGGTTCTAAACCACCAGCGGCTAGGCCTGTTTCCGGTAGGATCAGTGGACGGCGGCAGAGGGAGTGCGGAACCGGCGTTGTCCAGTGAGCTTTTCCAAGGCTGTACAGACATGGCGGCGGCTTTTCGGAAGGCCGCTAAGTCCCGGCAGCGGGAACACCGAGAGCGAAGCCAGGTAGGACCATGCAGGTTCCACGAGCGCTGGCCCTTGTCGCCATGTGTTACTCTCGTCCCAACCCTCTCGCCACCCTGGGATCCCAGTCCAAGCTGTATGTAAATGTACGCAAATGTATGCTAATACAGCTGGCGTGGCTGGGGCGGGGCTTCGCGGCAACGAGTGGAGGGGCTTTGTCGTTCCCGTTCTAGCAAGAGCAAGGGCTGCTCCCCATTCCTTGGGGCCATCAAACGTACTCTGGAAGATTTCAGTGTGGTGATTGAATTAAGACAATATATGTTAAGTGCTCGGCCTCTTCTGAGGCAGCCGAGGTCAAAGCTCTTACAGGCAACAACTGCCAGGCTGAAATTGGATCCCGCGTCTTAATGCTCAGCTCCTCCTGCTGCATATGGTGGCACTGACCGAGGAGACTGTCGTTACTAATGTGGTATTATCATACTGGTCTTGTGGTTCATAATGATCTGCCACATGTGCCTTTTGTTTATGCCTTACCCCTTAATGTTGGTGTTTTCCACTCCCATTATACAGATGAGGAAACTGAGGCCCAGCGTGGTGACTTGTCCATTTATAAACACCAGATTCAGGCAGAGTAAACAGTTCCAGGATTTCTATGGTGGGTGTGTCTGTGTGGGGAGGTTGAGTAGAAATAAGTTTATATTGATACACTTTCAGGAATCCCATGCTTAATATCTGATTCAGAAAGACTCTTAGGCATACGTATATATGTGCTCCAACTTCATTTTACAGATAAGGAAGAGAGGGGAAAGGATGTGTCCAGAGTTGTGCAGCTGACTGATGGGATACAACTAAGGCCTCTTAACTATAGTTCAGTCTTCCTGCTTAATAGCATTTATCAGAGTTGTTGTTGTTGTTTTTTTTTTTGAGACTGAATCTTGCTCTGTTGCCCAGGCTGTAGTACAATGGTGTGATACCGCCTCACTGCAACCTCCACCTCCTGGCTTCAAGTGATTCTCCTGCCTCAGCCTCCTGGGTGGCTGGGGCTACAGGTGTGCACCACCATGCCCAACTAATTTTTTGTATTTTTAGTAGAGATGGGGTTTTGTGATGCAGGCCAGGCTGGTCTCGAACTCTTGACCTCAGGTGATCCACCCACCTCGGCCTCCCAAAGTGCTGGGATTACAGGTGTGAGCCACCACACCCGGCCAAAACTATTACCTTTTGAGCACTTATTATGTGCTAGGCAGAGCCCTGCATGTTTTACAATTGTCTCATGGATCCTACACCATCCCTATGAGGTGGATGTTAATTCCTCATTTTACAAATAAGGAATCTGGTGCTTAAGGAGATTGAATAGTATATCCAAAGTCATAGTTGTCAGTAGTGGATTTGTATTAGCAGAGAAGACAGAGGGCTTTCAAAGCTGGCCATGGACATGGCATGGCCGTGGCTGAATAAGAACAGAAGGCCTATGTGGAAGAGGTGAGGAGAAGGCCATGCTGGAAAGGTGGGTAAACCATCGACACAGATGTTCCATATTTGGGTACTTTGGGCTTTCTCCTGTAGATCCTTCCGTAGGGCAGCAGGGGGGCTACTGAAGATATTTTGTATGGAGGGTGTATATGTTAATTACATAAACTATTTCAGATATTAATACCAGGTTTTCTTCTGTAATGCAGATGTACATTCAAGTGAACATGAGAGATCTCAAGAGTTCTGCCTCTTCTCATGTTGTTGCTCTTTTGACCCTTTAGCTTTCTTTGTCTACTCTGTCAATCTCCTTTTATCTGCTGTAATTAAAGTTAATTTTTTTTTTTTTTTTTTTTTGAGACGGAGTTTCGCTCTTGTTACCCAGGCTGGAGTGCAATGGCACAATCTTGGCTCACCGCAACCTCCGCCTCCTGGGTTCAGGCAGTTCTCCTGTCTCAGCCTCCTGAGCAGCTGGGATTACAGGCATGCACCACCATGCCCAGCTAACTTTTTGTATTTTTAGTAGAGAGGGGGTTTCACCATGTTGGCCAGGATGGTCTCGATCTCTTGACCTCGTGATCCACCCGCCTCGGCCTCCCAAAGTGCTGGGATTACAGGCTTGAGCCACTGCGCCTGGCCCACAAGTTAAAATTATTAAGGGAGGTTTGGTGTTACTTTATTTATTTTTTTGGATAGGGTCTCGCTCTATCTTTAGCCCCAGGCTGGAATGCAGTGGGGCAATCACTGCCCACTTCAGGTTCAACCCCCTCAAGCCATTCTTTTGCCTCAGCCTCCTGAGTAGCTGGGACCACAGGTGTACACCATGACACCCAGCTAATTTTATTTTATTTTTTAATTTGTAGAGGTGAGGTCTCACTGTGTTGCCCAGACTGGTCTTGAACTCCTGGGCTCAAGTAATTTGCTCACCTCTGCCACCCAAAGTGCTGGGATTGCAGGTGTGAGCCCGGCCTTAAATAGTTATTTATTGCATCATTTGAAGCATAAAAGATGAGACAGATGACTGTTAAAAATCCTACCCAAATTATTATACAAGTTTTTGTTTGTTTTGTTGAGATGCGGTCTCATTCTGTTGCTTGGGCTGGAATGTTATGGTGTGATCTCGGCTCACTGCAACCTCCACCTCCCAGGTTCAAGCGATTCTCCTGCTTCAGCCTCCCAAGTAGCTGGAATTACAGGCACCCACTAATTTCATGCCTGGCTAATTTTTGTAGAGACAGGGTTTCACCATGTTGGCTAGACTTGTCTTGAACTGCTGACATTGTGATCCACCCACCTTGGCCTCCCAAAGTGCTGGGATTACAGGCATGAGCCACTGCACCCCACCTATTATACAAGTTTAAACACTAGAGAAGTGTATGCATTTCCCAAAATGTTAAGATTATTCGCAATAGAAGAGAACTCAGTCTACTGTGATGGTCCTAGGTAGAATGGGGTCTAGTTTTAGCTCTGCTACTTACTAGTTCAGTGTTCTTGGGCTTATCATTCTCTAAACCTCATTCCCTTTGTGGAAAACTGTGATAACAGTAGTGCCTGTTTCACCTTCTTTTCATGATTGTTGTGGGGATTAAATGAAATTGTGTAGTGAGCATAACACATTGTTTTTTGACAGAGTAAGTGCTTCATAAATATGAACTATTATAATGATGTAGGCAAGAGAAGCCAGCACAGATGCTGACATATGCTAAGTGCTCAACAAATGATGGTATGCAGAAAGATGGTACCAAGATTTAATCCTTATACCTTCTGTGCTCTCCAAGTCTGTGTCAGAGGAAGTACTTTTTGTCATACTTTTTTCTCATACCTAGTACCAGAATTATAATAATAATAGTAGGGGCCAGGTGTGGTGGCTCATGCCTGTAATCTCAGCACTTTGGGAGGCCCAGGCGAGCGGATCACCTGAGGTCGGGAGTTCGAGACCAGCCTGACCAACATGGAGAAACCCTGTCTCTACTAAAAATACAAAATTAGCTGGTTGTGTTGGTGCATACCTGTCATCCCAGCTACTTGGGAGGCTGAGGCAGGAGAATTGCTTGAACCCAGGAGGCAGAGGTTGTGGTGACTGGAGATTGCGGTGAGCCAAGATTGTGCCATTGCACTCCAGCCTAGGCAACAAGAGCGAAACTCTGTCTCAAAAAATAATAATAATAATAATAATAACTCATGCTGGACAGCTGCTATGTGTGAAACCATGTGCAGTCATAACCATTTACACAAGCTCCTTGAATCCTCAGGATAACCTGGAGAAGCAGGTACTGTTCTCATGTTACAGTCAGGAAATAGCGGTTCAGAGAAGTTAACTGACATGCCCAAGGTCACAGATTGTTCAGAGGTAAAGCTTAGATTTGAACCCCTATCTCCAAACTCTAAATTTAGCTCCCTTACCACAGTTGCCTCCCTGTTACTATGTTTTCCCTTTGTAGTATTTTCTAAACCCGTGGATTAAGTTGGTAGTAATTTTAGTACAACTGGCAACTGCTTGCTTAGTGCCGAGTCATTGTTGCCTCTCTCTGTCCTTAATAGGCCAACAAACCTACTACAGCAGTGCTTGTGACCTGTCTGGTGCTGGCGTGGTCCCTCTCATCCTTGGGCAGAGCCCAGTTGTTGGGAGGGGAGGGAACAGGGCCATGGGTTAGCTCCAAGGACTGGATTTACTGAGCGCTGCAGACTCCAGTGCCTGTGAGGTGTCACGTTGGTTTGGATATGTGTTCACCGAGGAAACTAAGCACTGTCATTTTTCCTCTTGTCTTCTAGCCTGGCTTTCGAAAACATCTGGGCCTGCTGGAGAAAAAGAAAGATTACAAACTTCGTGCAGAGTGAGTTCAGTCTTTCTGGTAGAGTCGCTGCCGAGAAAGCTTACAACCTCCTTGCACTGCAGCTGAATTGCCTGAGTGTCCGACAGGGGATCATTTCCTGCCATTGATAAAATGGCCAAAGCGCTGGCAGCCTGTCAGATGATTTTTTCTGTGACCCTACATTTCTCTCTTTGTTTAAGGCACATCATTATTTATTTAACTGTAGTGGCATTGTGAGTTATTTTTATTATGTTGTTCCAGAGCGTTTTTCTCATAGTGGCTTTGATTTGGCTCGGCCTTGATGTTTGAGCCCAAAGCTGAATTTTTTTTCTCTTCGTTTTCTTGAAGTGCAAGATATAATCTAAAATTCCATTTGTTGAGTCTCTTACATCACCATGTGTGTGGTGTGGTGTGGTGTGGAATGAAGAGATGTGAAAGACAGATTCATGAGACCAAGCGTGGGTGATAATGAACTCTGAAAACATTTTATAAAACAATTATCCCCATTCTTCTTCTCTATTAGCACTTGATTTGCAGAATACTTCATAATTATTTGTTAGCCATACATGTCAGCTGAGGTCCTTCTTATGCCCCTGGTATAGATGGTGGCGATGGATTAAGTGGGTTTCTGTAGGTCCCAGAGATTTTAAGGCTAATGATAATTAAGTGTTGCTTATTGGGCCAGGCAGTGTTCTAGGATATTTACCATTTTTACACCTGACTTATCCTTCCCAACCAACCTTCTGGGATAGGTTACTATTACCATATTCATTTTACAAATGAAATTGGGATGCAGAGTAGTTAAATAATTTATCCAAAATTGCTTAGCCAGAAGTGTCAAGTCCAGATTTGAACCCATGCTGTCTGGCTCCAGAGTCCACGATTCTAGTCATTATGCTATACTGTACTGTGTAGTTTCTGAATTATATGTGGTCATTTGGTGCCCAAGCTTACACGATATCATCTCTAAGGAGTTTTAATTTGTTTGTTTTTTTTTTTTGAGACGGAGTTTCGCTCTTGTGGCCCAGGCTGGAGTGCAATGGCGCGATCTCGGCTCACCGCAACCTCCGCCTCCTGGGTTCAGGCAATTCTCCTGCCTCAGCCTCCTGAGTAGCTGGGATTACAGGCACCTGACACCATACCCAGCTAATTTTTAGTATTTTTAGTAGAGACGGGGTTTCACCATGTTGACCAGGATGGTCTCGATCTCTTGACCTCGTGATCCACCCGCCTCGGCCTCCCAAAGTGCTGGGATTACAGGCTTGAGCCACCGCGCCCGGCCAGGAGTTTTAATTTGTACTTTGGTGTCTCCCTGTAATGATGTCAATGGCACGGAAACATATGTGGGCTGGGGACAGTTAATTTCAGGTTCCACTAGAATAGAACTGTTGATTAGATTGTGGACCCTGTGAAGACATGAGCTCAGCTCAGTGACAGTGGAGTGTTGGTCAGATCCAGTCACTGCTTTGGCTTTTTCGAGTTTTTGTGTGACCTTTTAGATGCTTGTAAAGTTTGCTTATTGTGGGATTTTGTTTTTTTAAAGTTATTTCGTTTGTTTTTTGCTATGCATTTAACCTGTCTTTAGTGACTACCGTAAAAAACAAGAATACCTCAGAGCTCTCCGGAAGAAGGCTCTTGAAAAAAATCCAGATGAATTCTACTACAAAATGACTCGGGTTAAACTCCAGGTGGGTGCCCAATGGCTTGGTTGGTGTTTTGAGCTCCACACATTGGAAAATAAGGACAGGGAGGAGATGGAGAGGAAGGATCCTTGGCCTTAATTTAACCCTTCCCTGGTTACTCCAGGTGCTCTCGGTCAGTGTCCAAGGCAAACTTGCCACTTCCAGAGGAGCATGCATTTCTGCCTTTGAATCCGAGTTGTCTTAGCCCTGGAGCTGTTCTAGGATGGCTGGCTGGAGGTGCTACACTGAACGTGCGCCTCAGGGGCCTGTGTCTAGGAGTGCTGTTAGCATGCAACATTTGGTGGTTTTTTTGCTTTGGGGGGTTTTCTTTTTTTTTTTTTTTTTTTGATGGATTCTCTTTCTGTTGTCCAGGCTGGAGTACAGTGGCATGATCTTGACTCCCTGCAACCTCTGACTCCCGGGTTCAAGTGATTCTTGTGCCTCAGCCTCCTGAGTAGCTGGAACTACAGGCACACACCGCCATGCCCGGCTAATGTTTCGTATTTTTAGTAGAGATGGGTTTCACCATGTTGGTCAGGCTGGTCTTGAACCCCTGACCTCAAGTGATCTGGCCGTCTTGGCCTCCCAAAGTGCTAGGATTACAGGTGTGAGCCACTGTACCTGCCCTATGGTTGTCTTTGTTCTAACCATGTACTGTGCCACAACTTATTAATGATTTTAATCTAATAGGGAATATATCTTTTACATTTGGATTTTAGGATGGAGTACATGTTATTAAGCAGACTAAGGAAGAGGTAACTCCAGAACAACTAAAGCTGATGAGAACTCAGGATGTCAAATATATAGAAATGAAAAGGGTTGCAGAAGCTAAGGTAACAACTCATTCTCTGTTCTGTTTGGTTTATTGGTTAAGAAAGAAACTTAAAATCGTCAGTCTCAAGTTATTTGTTAATTTATTCTGGCATTTACAATCTTACCTGTTTGTGTTAATGATTTGGAAGTATAGTTAGCATGGTAGTGGAAGGAGTTCAAGTTTGTGAATGAGACAGCCCTAGGTTTGAGTTCTGGCACTGCCAATGACTTAGCCCCATGACAGTGGGCAAATTCAACTCCCTGGGGCTCTTCCCTCATTTCTGTCTCAGAGGATTGTTGCAAGGGTTAAGTGCATTTTGGGAAGCGCCTAGCCCGGTACTTGATGTATACTTGGAATCCTTTCCTTTAAAAGGATGAAGCTTCCTGCCGACAAATGATGGAAGGAAAAAAGAAAAAGAAAAAAAAAAATAAAAAAAGAAAAATAAGATGAAGCAAGTTCTTTGCTGGCTGGCAATAATGATGTGAAATGGTTTAAACTTTGGCAGTTTTTTTTTTTTTTTTTTTGATATGCCAGAAGAATCTAATATAAAGTGAGACCATATTCTGTGTTCTAGAAAATTGAAAGACTAAAATCAGAGCTCCATCTGCTGGATTTCCAGGGGAAGCAACAGAGCAAGCATGTGTTCTTTTTTGACACCAAAAAGGAAGGTATGAAATGTTTAAAGGTTTCTGGGACAGTCTACCATGCCAGTCTGTGTTGTTTGGTGTTAGAAACAGACAGTGCCTTAAGAATTGTCTTGAATTTTAGTTGAACAGTTTGATGTTGCAACTCACCTGCAAACAGCCCCGGAACTAGTCGACAGAGTCTTTAATAGGCCCAGGATAGAGACCTTGCAGAAGGAAAAAGTGAAAGGAGTTACCCATCAGACTGGACTTAAGGTAATTTTCTCTGTTCTTCACATGTGAGTTTAGGGGAATCTAAGTTCTTTGTTTTTTTTTTTTTTTTGCCACTGCATTTAAAATAATTTTTAAAGTTTTATTATTATTTTTTAGATAGAGTCTCACTTTGTTGTGGGGTGCAGTGGCATGATCTTGGCTCACTGCAACCTCTGCCTCCTGGGTTCGAGCAATTCTTATGCCTCAGTTTCCCCATTAACTAGGACTACAAGAGTGCATCTCCACACCCAGCTAATTTTTGTGTTTTTGTTTTTTTTTTTGAGATGGAGTTTCGCTCTTGTTACCCAGGCTAGAGTGCAATGGCGCGATCTCGGCTCACCTCAACCTCCGCCTTCTGGGTTCGGGCAATTCTCCTGCCTCAGCCTCCCGAGTAGCTGGGACTACAGGCGTGCGCCACCATGCCCAGCTAATTTTTGTATTTTTTAGTAGAGATGGGGTTTCACCATGTTGACCAGAATGGTCTCGATCTCTTGACCTCGTGATCCACCGGCCTTGGCCTCCCAAAGTGCTGGGATTCCAGGCGTGAGCCACCGTGCCCGGCCAATTTTTGTGTTTTTCATAGAGATGGAGTTTTGCTATGTTGGCCAGGCTGGTCTTGAATGCCTTACTTCAGTTGTTCCACCTGCCTTGGCCTGCCAAAGTGTTGGTATTACAGGTGTGAGCTACTGTGCCCCACCTAAAATAATAATAATAATAATTATTTTTTTTTGAGACGGAGTTTCGCTCTTGTTACCCAGGCTGGAATGCAATGGCGCGATCTCGGCTCACCGCAACCTCCGCCTCCTGGCTTCAGGCAATTCTCCTGCCTCAGCCTCCTGAGTAGCTGGGATTACAGGCACGCGCCACCATGCCCAGCTAATTTTTTATATTTTTAGTAGAGACGGGGTTTCACCATGTTGACCAGGATGGTCTCGATCTCTTGACCTCGTGATCCACCCGCCTCGGCCTCCCAAAGTGCTGGGATTACAGGCTTGAGCCACCGCGCCCGGCCCTAAAATAATTATTAATGAAAACCCATGAAGTTCTTTTAGAAAAGTGGATTTGTAGGAGGATTTGAAGGAGGATTTGATGATGGGATGGAAGTGGGGAAGGGCTCCGTTTCTGTGATCGGAGGATGTGTTGGTATAGTGGTCAGGAGCTTAGGTTCTGGCTTTTAGACCTGGGTTTGAATCCCAATTCTGACACTGCGCTTTGTGCTTTTAATGCTTGTAACAGATGCCAGTGTTTTTAAAATGCAGAGACAGGAACGATTGCTGAAGATGAAAGGATTTGGAATACTTTAATATTGAACCTTTAGCAGTGAATGCACACATCAAAAGGCCTTTCTATTAAAAAATAATTTTTTTTGAGGCAGGGTCTCATTTTGTCACCCAGGCTGGAATACAATGGTGTGATTATGGCTCACTGCAGCCTCCACTTCTTGGGCTTAAGCAATTCTCCTGCTTCTGCCTCCTGGGTAGCTGGGACCACAGGTGTGTGCCACAATGCCTAGCTAAATTTTAATTTTTTTTTTGTAGAAATGAGGTCTTGCTATGTTGCCCAGGCTTGTCTCAAACTCCTGAGCTCAAGTGTTTCCTCGTGCCTTGGCCTTCTGACATGCTGGGATTACAGGCGTGAGCCACCATGCCTGCCCAAAAGGTCTTTCATATTATGTATTGTAACAAACATTTTGTATTGACTTTTCCTTATGGTGCTTTCCGTCACTGTAACTGGGTTGTGCAGAAGACATGCTTTTTCTCAAAGCCTTCTGGAGTTGAACTCTTCTGACTGATTCATTAAAAAAAAATGCTGTCAATGTGTTTCAAGCAGACAGCTGTTCTGTTTTGATTTGAATCATTTACACCGCATCAGTTTTGCTTCCAATGTTTAATTTCACAGCAGTTTTCTCTAGCTCAGAGGCAGCTAAACTTGCTTTAGTAATATAAATACCCCTAATTAGTTTGACTATATTGGGTAATCCCATAAATCTGACAGTCTGTGCAGTAAAGCGAAAACAAAAGCTGTCTGAAACCACTGCTGTGAGACTGTGCTAGAATCCGTGGATTGTTGAAGTCTGAGGCCCAGTAATATTTCCCTCTATGTAGATAACACTTCCAGCTGAAGAGCCTGCTCTTGAGCGCTCTGTGATAACCCTGTTATTTGTCAATTAGGTGTACTTTCAGTTAGCCATGTCATTGATACTTCTCAAGAATTGTGGTAGTCCCTAAAAAGATTAGTATTCCAAACTCCCATGTAGAATTGTTCACCAGCATAGCTTTTGAAAAGTTAGGAAGGTCTAGATTTTGCCATTTTGTCTAGTAGTGCTGTTTCTTTCTATTTTGTTTACTGCAAAATTATTTTTATTAAGAGACTGCTGGTGGGTGGATTGCAAGGATATTTTGTCTGTAACTTGGTATGGGTAGACAACCCAGGAATGAGCTTTAGGGGGTCTGTGAAGGCCCCCCTTTCTTGCTGGTATTTTGTGCAGATAGCTACATGTGATCGCACAACCTTTTATAAACATATGTGTACATTTATCTCAAGAAAGATCCCAGGCTGGGCGTGGTAGCTCATGCCTATAGTCCCAGCACTTTGGGAGGCCAAGGCGGGTGGACGGCTTGAGGTCAGGAGTTTGAGATTAGCCTGGCCAACATGGTGGAAAAAATCATGTCTCTACTAAAAATACAAAAATTAGCCGGGCATGGTGGCGGGCACCTGCAATCCCAGCTACCTGGGAGGCTGAGGCAGGAGAATTGCTTGAACCCAGGAGGCAGAGGTTGCAGTGAGCCAATATCCTGCCACTGCACTTCAGCCCGAGCGACAGAACAAGACTGTGTCTCAAAAAAAAAAAAGAAAGAAAGGTCCCAAAGCTTTCATCAGTTTCTCTGAGGTTGATGGTTCCCCAAAACTTAAGGACCCCACTGGTCTTTGAGGAGTCGTTAGCAGTGAGAATTCCCAGGTCAGCTTCAGCTGAAAAAATTCCTCTGCTCTCTGTATGGTAAGATTCTCAGGTACCAGCACACTGCCTGGGGACCCTTCTGTTCTCCATTCACTTTGTGTAGGGTTTCCAACACTGACTCATTCCTGCCATCATCTCAGGTGATTGCAGCACTCACACAAAGGTTGAAGCAGCTTAGTATAGTAGTGGAAAGATTCCTGGGGTTTGTGAGACGGGGACAGTCTGACTCTGCTCCAGGTGAGCCATGTGTCTTTAGGCCACTTACTTCTTCTCTGGGCCTCATTTTTCTGCTTTTGTAAATGATAGGTTTTGATAAGGTAGTCTATAGGGTTTCTTTTTTTTTTTTTTTTTGAGATGGCGTTTCACTCTTGTTGCCCAGGCCAGAGTGCAATGTCACAGTCTTGGCTTGCCGCAACCTCCGCCTCCCAGGTTCAAGCAATTCTCCTGCCTCAGTCTCCCAAGTAACTGGGATTACAGGCATGAACCACCACGCCTGGCTAATTTTGTATTTTTAGTAGAAACAGGGTTTCACCATGTTGATCACGCTGGTCTCAAGCTCCTGACCTCAGGTGATCTGCCCACCTTGGCCTTCCAAAGTGCTTGGATTACAGGCGTGAGCCACTGTGCCTGGCCTAGGGCTCCTTTTTAATAAAAAAAAAAATTTTTTTTTGGAGACAGAGTCTCGTTATGTTGCCCACACTGGTCTCAAACTCCTGGGCTCAAGCAATCCTCCTGCCTCAGCCTCCTAAACTCCTGGGATTACGGTCGTGAGCCACTGTCTGGCCCAGGGTTCCTTTTAGCTTCAGAATGTGATGTTTCTAAAATGGGCAGCTTCATTGTTATCACATTATGTTGATTCTGGTGAAAGGGATTTGATGAAACTCTGCAGTTGGCTTAAATGGATTAAGAAACAGTTTCTTGCTCATTTTTGTCCTGTTCATTGTGTCACTGAGAATACATCTGTTTCTTCTGCAGCGAATAGCTAAAGAAAGGCAAAAGCAATATAACTGCCTGACACAGCGGATTGAACGAGAGAAGAAATTGTTCGTTATTGCTCAGAAAATTCAAACACGCAAAGATCTTCTGGTGAGGAAAGAGAGCCTTAGGCCTTTTTTTTTTTTTTTTCCTTTTCTGTCTCGTAAAGGTCTTAACTCAGACTGGATTTCAGCTATGTGTAAATCAACCCCAGTGAAAATGTCTGCTCCTCAGGGGCAGTGGTTTGAGCCAGTGTCTGTTACTCTGACAGTGTTGAAATGTTCCTTGATTAAGAAGGTAATAAGGGGGTTATTAGTCAGTGCTTTGGAACAGCAAAGGGTAGGATCGGGTAGCGTATGAACTTTATAGCTTATGAGCAGCTCCCGTAACATTTAAACAGGTTAACAAAACAGTGCATGTCACTCATTGGTGTTTAAAAATAGACAACATTGTGTAGTTAAATAGCAGAGCTGAGGAATATAAGATGCCTCCTTCATATTCTTATCATTTCTCTAAATGTCAAATTCTTATGCTTTGCGGATCATTTAAGTCAGCCTTTCTCAACTGGGGTTCCGTGAGAGAATTAAAATGATAATTTTAAATGAAACAACTACTTGAACACCTTTTTTCTCAATTTTCCCATGGAGTATACACAGCCAGTACTTTTTAGAGGCTTAGGGGAGAAGTTAATTCACTGTATGCAGTGGATGCCTTGGGCAGTAGGGCTCTGTCTCTTCTCAACTTCGAGAAGGGCTGAAACGGGGCTTTCTAATAGGTAGTTTATTAAGCTTTTTATTTTAGAAAGTGACCATTTCCTTCTCTTTACTGATAACCTCTTTACTCTTTTGTAGGATAAAACTCAGAAAGTGAAGGTGAAGAAAGAAACAGTGAACTCTCCAGCTATTTATAAATTTCAGAGCCGTCGAAAACGTTGACATGTTATAGATAAGCCTTGTCATTCTGCATCAAAAATCTATTGTCTTTTTCTAGTAACTTCAAATTCCATTAGCCCAAATGGCACGGTTTTCCGGTTTGTAACCATAACTAAATTGTCAGTCTGGTATTAACGTCTTTCTATGGACAACATTAAATCTCCATCCCTTCTGTAATTATTTTTGGATTGTGAAATTAGTCCTATTTTTATATACATAACTTTTTTTTTTTTTTTTTTACAATTTGAGATAAGGTCTTTGTTGTCAGGCTGGAAGTGCCGTTATGTGATCATGACTCACTGCAACTTTGAACTCCTGGGCACAAGTGATCTTCCTGCTTCAGCCTCTCAAGCAGCTGGTACTATAGACATGTGCCACCATGCCTGAGTAATGTTTAAATTTTCTGTAGAGACCAGGTTTTGCCATGTTGGCCAGGCTGGTTTTGAACTCCTGGGCTCAAGTGATCCTCCCACCTTGGCCTCCGAAAGGTCTGGGATTACAGGTATGAGCCACTATGCCTGGCCTGTAATTTTTTTTATTATGAAACTTATAGGATCTCATTACAGCAGATTTGGAAAACAGATTAATTCATTCCTAATCCCAGTACTTATTCAATAATAAGAAGTATTTATTGCATACTTAACTGTGCTAGGAGCTGGAGCTGTGGAGGTGAGCAATTACTGTGAGTAGAGTCTAGTTGATTTCCTCCATTTTGTAAAGCTATGCATCACTTTTTGTCCATGTTTTTGTGTTTTTTTTTTTTTTTTTTTTTTTTTTTTTTTGAGACGGAGTTTCGCCCTTGTTACCCAGGCTGGAGTGCAATGGCGCGATCTCGGCTCACCGCAACCTCCGCCTCCTGGGCTCAGGCAATTCTCCTGCCTCAGCCTCCTGAGTAGCTGGGATTACAGGCACGTGCCACCATGCCCAGCTAATTTTTTGCACTTTTAGTAGAGACGGGGTTTCACCATGTTGACCAGGATGGTCTCGATCTCTCGACCTCGTGATCCACCCGCCTCGGCCTCCCAAAGTGCTGGGATTACAGGCTTGAGCCACCGCGCCCGGCTTGTTTTTGTGTTTTATAGTTAACAATTTGATGTCCTACTTTTTAATTAAATCATTAGCTCTTTCCCACTTTGTTACATCACAAAATTTTTTTACAGTAATATACATTAAACAGTAAAATATTACTTTTAATGATTGCATAGTGTTTTATCCAGTGGATAGACTGATTTTACCCTCACTCATTATTTTATTGGCTATTCAGGTGGCTTCATAAATTATCCAAGGAGGAATTTTTTTCTCTTAACAGCTGCAGATAGAAACTCTTGGAACAAGGAACCCACAGGAGCACCTCTTCTTTATTGATGAAGCTCAAATCAGAATAGACCTGGCTCTGTCTCTGCCCTCTGCACTCCATACCAACTCACAATCCCAAGGCTATAATGGCTTAGTACAGACTTTCACTCTGGGAATATGGACCCCCCAAGTGTGTTGGCCAGCTTCCTTTTTTACCCTGGTTCTCTCCTTCATTTGCCCACATCAGGTCTATAGGCCAAGGCCAGTAAGGACAGGACTGAACATGCTTAGAGCAAACGTGGAAGAACAAAAAGCAGGGTTTTTGGCGGGTCGGTGGGGGCAGTGGGCTTGCTCAGCCCTTATCCTTGGAGGAAGAATACCCATGTATGGATTTTTTTTTTTTTTTTAAGACAGAGTTTCACTCCTGTTACCCAGGCTGGAGTGCAATGGCGCGATCTCGGCTCACTGCAACCTCCGCCTCCTGGGTTCAGGCAATTCTCCTGCCTCAGCCTCCTGAGTAGCTGGGATTGCAGGCACATGCCACCATGCCCAGCTAATGTTTTGTATTTTTAGTAGAGAAGGGGTTTCGCCATGGTGACCAGGATGGTCTCGATCTCTTGACCTCATGATCCACCCGCCTCGGCCTCCCAAAGTGCTGGGATTACAGGCTTGAGCCACCGTGCCTGGCCCACCATGTATGGATTTTAAGGCTTAAAAAAAAAAATTGGTAATAACTTAATAAGTGCCCATGACTATGAAGTTCGTGTGCAAGCCCAGACTGGAAGCCTGTTTCCTCAGGGTGTACCCAGTGGGATTTAAATCAGGGGCCCTGGAAAACAGGAAGAAGGGCCAGGAAACAGAAACCAGTAGCTTTTGCCTTGAGGAAGGAAATGCTTCCTACTGCGCGTGCCCACACTCCCTTCTGGGGAGGTGCTGAGCTCAGTCAGTGCTGACAGTTTTAGGAGACCTGAGGATCAAACCAGGGAAGGGACTCATCACAGTGATAATGGACAGAGGAATGAGCAGACTAAGCAGCAGTCTGATCCTGCGGTCAAACAGCTGGGTGCTGCTGCTCTGTCGCTTGCCCCTGCTGGGTGAGAAAATGGAGGATAGACCTAAATGCCTTCTCATGAGCCATATACCCACGTGAAGGTAGGCTTGCCCCATAGGATCTCATGTTCACAGATGCACAAGGCACGTATAACTCAGGCCTCATAAACAGGTGCGGGCATACCTACACACCCTCTGGTACGTGGGCACAAACAGTGACACTTGAAGAGGGACCCGCCCCAGCCAAACAGAGCAGGAAAGTCCATCCTCTTGGTGTGCTGTGAGTTCCAGGCTGAAGGTAATCAGAGAACTATAAGGGGAGCTGGGTGTTTTGAATTGCTGTTAACACTCTGTTGTCTCCAAGACCCAAGGTTGTTAAGCAAAGAGATTGGCTGCCCCTTGTGACTAAGCAAGGACAGCTCCAGCGCCATGGGTTCTGAGAATGGCCAGGGCTTTGCTGCTTTGGTGCTCATGGGACCCCAGACTCCTGGTTTGTTGGGGAGGGAAGAGTATTGTTTGCTTAGGATTCACCCTTCTTGGCCTAGGGTGATTGGGGCTGTTGATGGCATAGTGTTCTAGTTGTGCCAGCGGGGCTGTGGGCAGCCTATGGAGCTGGAGGGCATTTCTGAGGACTTGTTTGGCTCAGGTCTTGTGAGCAAATCCAAACCAGCTCCATGGTGACGTGGACCCTTCAGGTCTGTCCAACAGAGAATTCAGTGAGCCTGGCTCAGTCTTAGTCTGTTGTCACATCTTAGAGCCCTTCCCACCAAAGCAGGAGAGTGTCAACTTTTAGCTTTATTCTTTTTTTTTTTTTTTTTTTTAAAGACGAGGTTTCACCATATTGGTCAGGCTGGTCTCAAACCCTTGACCTCAGGCGATCCTCCCGCCTCAGCCTCTCAAAGTGCTGGGATTACAGGTGTGACCCACTGTGCCCGGCTAGCTTTATTCTTAAATTCATCTTTTTCTTTGAGATGGAGTCACACTCTGTTGCCCAGGCTGGAGAGCAGTAGTGCAATCTTGGTTCACTGCAACCTCTGCCTCCTGGATTCAAGTGATTCTCTTGCCTCGGCCTCTCTAGTAGCTCGGACTACAGGTGCAGAGATGGGGTTTGGCCATGTTGGCCAGGCTGATCTTGAACTCCTGACCTCAGGTGATCCACCCCTCCTCTACCTCCTAAAGTGCTGGGATTACAGGCATGAGCCACTGCTTCTGGCCAACCTTTTTCTGATTTCTGCTTCCTGGTGCCAGGGTGGAAGAGGGCCCAGCAGGTGGAGCTGCTGCCCCATTGCTGGGATCCTTCTTGGGGACTTGGTATCCACCCACCCAGCACACTTACTTGGCTTCTTTCAGAAGCGTCCTTGTACTTAGGAGGTGCTTGTATGTGTTTGCTTACTGAATTTAATGCCATGGGGGAGAGTTCCCATGAAGAAATGGGATTTTCTCCCCCCTGAGTTTGTGGTGAGTGTGGCCTGAGGAGGAAGGCTGGTGGGAAGGTGCTTTTTCCTTCCTATAGCCAGTGAGGACCACGTAGGGAGGGCCCTGTCATAGAGCCCCAGGTTTCCCACAGGGCGGTTCTGCCCAGACCTGGGAGGGGTCTCCCTCTGTGCCGCTCTGAGTGTTTGTTTATTGTTCACTGTCCTCGCCATGCTGCTGACTGTGGGGCACTGAGCAATTAGAGCTGCACGTCCTCCAGCAGGGAAGGCAGCCAACAGATGCAGACTCGCGCTGCCTACCTGCGGAGGCTGGTGAGGCCAGGGCCTGTTGGGACTTGAAACAGTGAGGCAAGTGGGTGTGTGGTGCTGGGCTCCCCCCCTCCAGTTCTCCCAGCATGCCAGTTCCTGGAGCCTTCTGTGCAGGGTGTTGGGGAAGGGCGGGCTGAACCGTGGGTGGGAGTCTTGGCTCAAAGCCCCAGGTGAGTGGAGGAATTGGGGGCGGACGTGAAGTTCTGTGTTGAGGTGGAGCTGGCAGGCCTCCTGGGCATATGCGGCTGCCTCCTGGGGTCAGAGGGTGCGCTCTCTGTACCCAACCAGGTCTCTACAGGTCTGTCTCAGCAGAAAGTGCCAGGAAGGATCAGAGAGAAGCTGTGAAACAAAGGGAGGCATAGCTTCCCTTCCAAGCCCGTTGCTGAGAGGTCAGAGTCTAGAGGGGCTGCCCAGTTCATGCTTCGGCCTGTTCTTTCCTAAACTGCTCTGGCCAGACGGAAGAAAGTCTCCACTGCTTCTCAGACCCCCTGTAATGAATCTCTGGGCTCCCTGTTCTTGGATCCATCATCATCACATTTAGGAAGTCTTGTCCAATCTACTCCTAGGTGAAACATACCCCTAGCTCTCCCTGTTCATCCTGTCTGCTTCGCTTGATGTAAAGGGGACAAACTGCTTAGGGCTGGGGTGGTGACACAGTCCAGTCCTGTGCTCCTGCGTGGTGGTAGAAGAGGCTTGTCCAGAACGGAGCTAAGGACCCAGCTTTTTCTAGGCAAAGGAACGTATCAAGGGGACTGTTGTTTCGGGGTAAGCAGAGGATGGAAACGAAGCCCTTTTCCCCTCCCTGCATCTGTCACCTGAGGGCCGTGCTCAGAGCGTGTTAATAAAACCCTGGTGCCCCAGGCAGCTGGGCAGCACCCTCCTCCCCAATCAGCCTGACTCATTTACAGCTTTCTCCCAGTTACCCCAAAGGCTTCTCTCAGAGGTGACAAATGTGGGGGGTTGGTTTCGGGTTTCATGTTTTCACATTACTGGGTGGAAAAAAAAAAAAAAAAAAAACCACCTTTCCAAACCAAAAAAACCAACTTCTGTAGCAGAAACAACGAGTCCCGAGAGCACTAAAAATTTCCCCATCC